ATGTGCCTGGTAGCGTGCTTAACTCTCTAATGTACGCAGCTTCGGTATCGGTAGCGCTGTATTGTAGACGGAGACACCATGTTCAAAGTGACACTTGGAACTCGGCATATACATAGAGCTGTAGACCCGAACGTGTGCCCGGAAATGACATATACATGTGCCTGTTAATCCAGTGGCAGCCTGCGCACGCAAGGCTTTTAGGGACTCCCATATAAAATTTTCTATCGAGCTCAGGCCGTCCTTTTGCATCTTTTACCCGCTCCCTTATTATGAGTGATGCAAATAATTTATCAAGTGCGATTGTTTGCCAATTGTAGATTTTGTCTGCAATGTGTCGCTCTGAAGTGCGATTTTCTGTAAGCCCTTAATAACATTTGGAGCGATATATTCGAGGTTCATCGTGCATTTGCTTACACGAACGTTGCAAAAATCATTACACGGGCAGAACAACCTGACATACTAAATAAATCTAATGACTTTTGTTTATTAAAAGCTAGATTGAAATGCAAATATAACACGGCATTCACAGTACGACCCGTATGATGCTCAAAAGTTGTGAAGTAATTTCTCAGTTGTCCTTTCATTGGAGTACATCTCGTGCCTATAACAAGACGGCGTTCTTGTTTTCTTGTTCGTTAAATCGTACGTTTGAATATGAAGTATTGAACAGGGATACAACAATAAAGTAGCAATTGTCAAAAAAAAAAGTATCCATGTAGAAATTCTAGTTCGTTTCGATTGCTCGTTCATAAAGAATATGCTCATTAAGTTTGGTTCTCATCTTCACGAGACGGTTGCTTGCATTTGCTGGAGAAAGCGTATATGAAACCTAGTTTAAAGAAGCGGCTCTTATACGCAGGCAAAGGCTGAGTGCGAAGCGAATTCCTGTGTACATTTACACACCTTTTATCCTCAGAAAACTTTTTGTGGGCACTGAACGAATGAGGACCAAGAGAAATAATTTATGAAGGCATATTTCTAGCCTCAGTGACTGTGGAGTCGCTGGAAAATTGGAACTGATGCTTGAATTGGCGGAAACTAATCTCGTAAGAAATCTCCATACACCATGGCATTATTGACAACTTGTAAAGGCACCTGCTTTCGCACCAATTCCAAAGAAGGCAGGAACCCTTATCTGAAAGGTAATGTATTTCTGCTTAGAGAGTCAGAGTATTCTTGCCGGTAACTCTGATGAGCGAGTCAAATGACACTCTGGAGTGGCAATGGATCCTATAGTTTCAATCTATTCAATTGACTCGCGCTAGCTTTGTGTGACTATGGTTAAAAATAAAGAAGTATTCATTCTGAGCAAGCCCGACAACACTTTCTGCTGTTCCTAGTTACTGCAAAAAGAGTGACAGAGTGAGCTCACTTTTTAACATTTCAAAAATCATTCAAATAAACCCCCAAGCTATTCAGCAGAGTAAAATACGAAGTGCGAAAGGTTTGTCTGCAATTTTCAATTAAGCAGTTAAGGTAGGCCTCGCTTACATACACGTTGTGAGCACAGCTAATAAAAAAGTGTGACATCGGTGTGCATGTCAGATGGTGCGAAAGGCACGGCAGAAATCAACATGAAGTTTTCATTTTTATTTATGATCATTATGGATAAATGATAAGCTGGTGATCGCTGAAGGTATTAGAATTGTGATCTGCTACCTTGCCTTTCCCACTCATCGTGAGCAGCCGTGATGAATGAAGTGTGCAGAACAGGATGTAATAATGTGACGACGAAATGGAACTGTACTAACAGTTTTAAATATATTTGACAATAAGGAGTTTACATAGACAAAATTGACAGCCACTACTAATACAAAGAGACATGGCAAGCATATGTATTGTCATGACTCATTACCGTTTGAAACACAACTTGAAAGTGGTTATTTTGGAACATGCCATTTGGTAACAAATTTGCAGGACATGTTGTTGTGGGCTTCTTTTAAACAACAATTCTTTTAAACAACATGGGTGAGTGGGTAGAAAGAAAGTAAGTAAGTAAGTAGTCGGGTGTAATTTAAGAAGGCAGTGGCCTTTTCCCCTTAAAGGCGGATGTACACAAGCCTCCACCAATAGACGCGCATGTCAGGTGATGTCATGCGCCAGACTATACCAACCGGCACGTAAAACACTGAAAACAGCAACCACAAACAAGGTTAAAAATGTGCACGGCAGCGGCTACGGCAGCACGCGCGGTCGATATTGTATAATCACAGGTTGTCACCTTCCTTACTATTAGGGTGCAACAGGTGTGCCAGTTGTGGCAATTCGATACGATTCCCGATTGTTGCGCTGAGCTGTGCCGAAACTGTGAAATTCGCTGAAATTGTGCCAGCGCCAAAATGCCCAGCCAGCCTCAAAATTTTTTTCAGGTGCCCTAACTTCGGCAAGAAATGCTGGGCAAGTCGGCCACCTGCGGTTTGTGCCATCAGTCAAAGTGTGCAGACTCGAATGATAGTGCCTAGAATATACTTATATATCCTAGGCACTCGTCCTACGCTCGCGAGACGCGATCGACCAGATGAAGTAACAATGCTGCACGCCCATCGATCTGCTTACCGCAGCAGATGCCTATCCGCGGGTTGATAGAACTTCAAGACAATCTCTGCGAGAAATATATATTTCTTAACCTGAAATGCAGATATGGCTTGTCAAGAACTAAAGCTGGAAGAGTATGCCGCGTTTTTTTTTTTTTTGTGAAAACAAGCTCGACGTGCTGCAAACGCCCGCGCTGCTAGGGACCACGTCAATTGCCTTAGCAGTAACACGTAAAACATTAATTTTTGTCTTTAAGTTGCATCGTCACTCCAAAGTCCTTGGCAACCGATATCTGGTACCATCGCCGGGCCGACGGGCACGGGGTGTTGTTACTTTACCTGGTCAAACGCGCCTTGCAAGGGAGCCGAAGTGGCACCAAACCCAATGGTGAAAAAATAAAAGGGGTGGGAAGTGGGGTCGTGGTATGACAGAAAATTTCTAGGCTTTGGTTCTATTAGCCTCAGTACTTCAGTGCCCTGTGGAATAGAGTATTAAGATTTAGAAGGGGCTGTTAGCGCTACTGGGACACTGCACATTTTGCTCAGTTACACATGTGCTTGTGTGCGTCACAATTTCGAGTACCAGTATAACTACTGGTACTAAAACGCAGTGTAAAATTAATCTGCAGGAAACGAAAGCAATCTACAACAACCTCAGAAGAGAACAGCACTTCGAGATAGGTGATAGTGCACTTGAACTTGTGAAAGACTACGAAATTGAAGTAACTAGAAGAATAAGAATGCCATCGAGCACACTTGGCTAGCGCTCTCACATCATGAATGGTAGATCGCCACTATCCCTAAATAAGAAGGTATAAAACAGCTGTATCTTGCCGGTACTTAGCTGCGGAGCAAAAACCTGAAAACTTACCAAGAAGGTCCAGCTTAAGTTGAGGACAACGCTATGAGCAATAGAAAGGAAAATGATAGGTGTAACCTTAACAGACAAGAAGAGAGCAGCATGGCTCAGGGAACAAACGGGAGTTAAGGATATCACAGTTGCAAGAAGAGGAAATGGACATGGGCCGGGCATGTAGTGCGTAGGCAGGATAACCGCTGGTCATTAAAAGCAATTTATGGGATTCCCAGAGAAGGCAAGCAGGCCAGGGGGAGGCAGGGAGTTAGGTTTGTGGGTATCAAGTGGCAGCAGCAAGCACAAAACGGAGCTGACTGGTGGAACATGGAATAGGCCTTTGTTGAACTGAACTTTATTATTGTTTGTTCAGCGGAGTGGTTTAGAGCACTACTTTCATTGCAATAGCAGTGCTTGTGTTTACACTGCACGATTTAGGAGATGTTGAATGGTTGAAACAATTTTTTTTGTAAGCCTCATTTTTTTATTGCTCCTGAATTGGTAATTTATGATAGAAAATGCATGGTTTTTCCCCCGTAACGTGCTAAAAATTCGGAATGTAGTGCGCCAATATTAACATTTTGCTGCTTCGAAAATTGCTCCGAGTTGTATTTTCACCATTGCATCCTTGTACTGCCCCTTAATTAATTCGGTGGCTGATAATGTTGATCAAGAATCATAGTTGAGTCTTTTGTGGTGAATTGAAAGCCATAATGACCCACTCGTAATGGTATTTATATTGTGTGATGCCTGATACACAATTCGCATTCTGTGATGCCTGGTCGTTATTTTGCTCTTCTACTACAATATATTGCATACGTGAATGCGGTTTGTTCCAGACGTAATACTTGTATAGGGTTTTTATGCGCAGGAGGTTCGAGCTCTAACGTGGCTCAGTGGTAGAATACTAGTCTGGTGCAGAGAGGACCCCAGGTTCAAACCCCGTTCCATTCAGGATGTTTTTTTTTTTTTAATTTCGTTTTTTCAATCTTATGCGATATCGTCTACGAACACCGGCTGTGGCGATGGCGGCGGACAACTACTTGGTCCCCCTTGTGATCTCATAGATTGATTGACTTGTGGGGTTTAACGTCCCAAAACCACCATATGATTATGAGAGACGCCGTAGTGGAGGGCTCCGGAAATTTCGACCACTTGGGGTTCTTTAACGTGCACCCAAATCTGAGCACACGGGCCTACAACATTTCCGCCTCCATCGGAAATGCACCCGCCACAGCCGGGATTCGAACCCGGGACATGCGGGTCAGCAGCCGAGTACCTTAGCCACTAGACCACCACGGCGGGGCCCTTGTGATCTCATAACAGATGTCGTTGTACAAATAGGGGTTCCACGCACCTCCAGAACTGCGAGTGGCACTTACTAATAGTAGTACTCCAAGGATTGCATGCACATTAATACCCCAGAAAGTGGATGGAGAGAAAGACCGCACCCGTCGCTCAGTTGGTAAAAGCATCAGGTGCGTAATCTGAAGGTTGGAGGTTCGGTCTTTGTCGGTGGCAAGTTGTCTTTTCGTCAATTTTACTTTCTTCACAACTATGTCACAATTACAGCAATACACTTGATACAGTAAAATAATATTTTCTGTACTTACATTGCCTTGATTATCTGCTGGCTTTTATTAACTATGTGCTGGTCCACTAATTAGAGACGAAGAATCGCATCTTTTACAGGGCAAATTCTGTAATGTGATGACACACATTATGCTACATAATCTTCGTAAGGATCATCGTCATCATATATTTTACTCTTAAGGGGCCCTTATGGGCATTACATAAGGACAACATTTTACAGAATACAAAATAACAAAGTAGTGCAAATAGAAGAGCAGTACTTTTGAAGGATCAGAGAAAAGGCGCATAGTAAATGTACTTACACAAATACAAAAACATGCGAGCACAAAATGTTCACTTACCAAAGTGCAAAATTTCGTGATGGCAGTTGAGTTTTCATCAGCTGTTTGAACGCACACTAATTGCACTCCGAAGCGATGGCTTATGATAAGTTATTCCATTCCTTGATGACGACAAGAAAAAATGACTTGTTGAATGCAGCGGTTCTACTAAAAGAATGTTGGAGGCTTTTGTAATTAAATTGCCGGTGGGAATAGCGGGCAAGAGAAAGTAAGAGAGAGCCGTGCAAGTTAGGAAAAGAATAAAAGAAAGTCTAAATATATGCGTTTTGTCAGCTAGATTCTGCAAGGCTAAAGACGCCCGAGTCTTTAGCCTAGCAAATAAAAGTGATGCTTGACGAGTGATTTTCATTGGGCGTAATAAAAACCGGGCAGCCTTATTCTGAAGGGATTCTAACAGATTAATCAAATAGGTTCAGAGAGGGCTCCAAATGCAGGATGTGTATTCGACCCTTTTTAAGAACGAAGGTTACAGACTGTAGAGCTAATAAGCATAAAGGAATGTAACCAAGCTTTTTTGATTGTGTCAGATATTAAGTATGTGCCGTGATCTTACCATGTGGGAGTGTTAGAAATAAGCATGCCAAGGTATTGTAACTGTATAATAATGTGCACAATGTACATTTACTGACAGGCAGTGTTGTGGACAAGGCTGAGGCTCAACGCTACTACCAGCTTGGTTGCGAGGTGGGCCACGCAAAAGCCTGCTTTGGCGTGGGCCTCGGCCTCACTAGCCCGGACAGCGGTATGGAACAAGACGTGACCAAGGGACTGGCCTTCTTCTCCAAGGCGTGCGACATGGGCTCAGCTGACGGCTGCTACTTCGCCAGTTCTCTCTACATTACGGGAAGAGAGGGACTGCCTCGTGATATGCGGCGTGCCTACGAGTTCGCCATGCGTGCCTGCGATCTGAAGAACATGCAGGCTTGCTCCAACGTTGCTCTGATGTATGCCAGGGGACAAGGGGTCAAGAAGGACGCCAGCCAGGCTGAGCGATACCGTGCCATTGTCAACGATTACAACGAGCAACTGAAGCAAAACAGAGGAATCGAGATGGAGCAAGGCATCAAAGACTGACCGCCTGTTGGACCCTGTTGTTGTGAGGGAGGGACACCATGCACACAGAATGACTGTATACTGCTCCATAGCTCAAACATAGCTACGTGAAGCATAGACAACGACGATATCATGTGGTGTTCAGCAGTTTTTGCTGTGAAGGGAGCTTCGAAAGGCCAAACTAGTGGTCTGTTATCACATCACTGTTCTGTGTTGCCATGCGTAGCCACAGACTCTAGTTAATGCGTGTTAGATATCAATTAGGACAATATTGAGGAAAAGAAAATGCTTGATCTCTGCGTGATTGGAATCGGTATAACACGATAGTGAACCATGTCTACAGAAGAGTATACTTGATTTTTATGATACAATGATGTATGAGTGCTTGCACGTTGTCTATCGCTGTTTGGCAGCTATAGGACCGCTTGATATGGATGATGCGTTCTCAGAAATGCTTGCATCACGTGACCATTAGGTCGAAGCATACGTCGACTGCCGCACCTATATCTCCAGGTGTGCATGAGCCTTACGAATAATAGCACTAAGGAGATACAGAAAGTGGAACTTCAATGCCAAATTATCCTATTGTGATCACGTACATGCCATTATTGCTGTGAACTTGGCTTTAATGAGAGAGAAAATTGCGATAAACTAAATGATATGTAATATCGCCGTCAAATTAAGTGTGGGCAGGGGTAAGTATCAAAAATCGTATACTGCACGCCCTCCAGTAACCAACATTGAGAGGTGCGCATCAGTCGTATTTCGTATCACTGCATATCTCCTCGGCCATGACTGCACAACTGCATTGCACAGGCACGCTTTACAGCACGCGTGTGCTGTACAGCACGCCTGTGGGGCACAGTTTGTCCTGTCCAGTCCTCCTCTGCGGCGCGCCTCATTAACATATTGTAGTTTCGGGCACGTAAATCTCCAGCAGTGATTCACACTATAGGTGCGTCATGGCCTGCGCAACTGTAACTGCGCACACGTTTTCAGGCATATGAAAAGGAGTTTTTTTTCGAATGAAGGCAGTTGCAAGCTGACGCTCTATTCTGTCTCCATTCTTTTTTTAGTCTATGTGGCTTGCGTCCGTAATAGTTTTTTCTATGCTGAAGATTTAGTTGCTTGTTCTTTGACTAAAGCAGTGCACCCAGAATCTTTGCTGCAGTCCCATTTTCTCTTTTGGAAATGAAGCAAGGAATCATCAAATGTTTTATTATTTCTTATTATGGAACCCATTCTATTAACAACAGAAGGGGAACCAGGGCTCTATTTTAGTTAACTGTGGCACCAGAAAGGCAATATATCTTGAATTCAAGAGAAACATCAAGGAAGCTATTTATAGTATAATTTAGCATATTAAATACACACTATATTATTACAGTCTGTCGAGCATTGACAGAACCAGCACAAAGCTGGTGTTGCCAACTCGTCGTTTTTTTTTTTTTTTGTTTTCTACATGAGCAATGTTTCATGCTTCGGAAAGCAGTGGCATTTTCGGTCGTTACAATAGGCAGATTTAGGATAATGTGCGCAAAGCTTTGAGTTAGCGCTGCTCGCCACTGCGTATGCATTGTACCATAACCTCTAGTGGGTTCCCGTTGAGTGACCGAAATAGCGGGAGATGGCAAGGACCGCAAAGAGAACACTATTCTAAATCTTCCTACTTCTCTTCAGAAATAGAGCCATCCTGAAGAATTGCAGACAGAGAACCACAGTACAGAGATAGTAAGAGTTTAGAAGTTCCATATGTGCAATCTTATGCCTTGACATTGTTCAATTATACATTACAAGAAAGCTCAAGTGGCTTGATGACCGGGCCTATAGCTCAAGGAGCCACAAAACTCAGCTGGAATCAAATCAAATCAAATTTTTTTTCCACCATGTAGAGTATACAGATGGAGGACAACTGAAAAAAAACTGCAGAGAAGCGGCACTAGTCCGTAGCCGAAAGTAATCTATAGCATGTGGGCAACAGCAAAAAAAAAAAGCGCACAAACGAAACGTGAAAACGTATAAAAACTCAATGAAGACCGTACAACGCTAAAAAGCTTCGAGACATCTAGATGGTGGATTTCAAGCTGCTAGCAGCTGTGGTGTGATAATGCGCTCTCTGGCGACCTTCTTGAAGGCTTAGCAGCTTGGGAAACTGCCGTCGACTCACTCACATAAGCGTGGCAAGGATGTATTAAAGGGCCACTTACCAGGTTTGACGATTTTGAGCTGACAAGCGTAATGCGTAGACGAGGCGTTCATGATCACGTCTGCCAAAATTTGCTACGCTATGCGCCGCGAAATGGGTCAAACTTCAAGATGAACGCTGCTCCCCCTCCCCTTTGCCGGCGCACGCTTAGAGAATGAGGGCATGACGTGGGCGTATGAGTGGCCCTACGTACACGGCAATGCAATGACGTTGGTCCTTTACGTAGACGACTCTGCTCTGACGTTGTCAACCGTATACCACGTGCCATGGCAAAAATTATTTAACATAACATGTGTAGTTTATGTATTTGTTGTTCTAAGAGATTAATAAAACTTCAAATAAAGAGACGCAATAAAAAATTGTGCGCGTTTTTCTTTCATTTTTTCCCGTGAAATGCTACGAGAGCCCCGCCGCGGTGGTTTAGTGGCTAAGGTACTCGGCTGCTGACCCGCAGGTCGCGGGTTCAAATCCCGGCTGCGGCGGCTGCATTTCCGATGGAGGCGGAAATAGGGAGTTTTAGTGCTTGCTACCCAGCACTAAAACGGCTTGCGTACCCAGGACGTTGGGGCGGCGGTATTGCGCATGCGCGAAGCCCCAAACAGATGCGTCGCAAGATCGCTGGGGCGATGCGTCTGTGCGCCCATAAACAACGCTGCCACCACTGGCCTCCTAGCGGAGATAAGCTGCCCCGGCGCACATGCTAGCGCATGCATCATGTTACCTTGACGGCGAGCAAGGCCGAGGCTGGCCAGAGCCACCAATTTGACATTTAGGTTTTAAGCGCAAATATTATAGTGGCTAGCCACTATACAAATAGCATGACACAAAGGCGCGAAATCTCGGACAGCATGGATCGGCCGCCTTGTAAGGTCCACCTTCGCAAGAACTCACAGTATCCGCACTGCGGATACTCTAGCCGTCGAGTTAAAATAAGCCAAAGTGCGAGAACTTCTAGCGATTTCATGGTTTCAGCCAGATTACCAAAGCTAGAATGGCCTGGAACATAAAAACTAAATATATGCCAACCCCGATCAGTTGAATAGGTGGCGCCATCTGGCGCGGCTATATTGAAACAGGCAACCACAACATTGTTATTGCAGAAACATTGTGCATTGTACATCTGATGCAAAAACTGCGCAGCGACAATATTACAAATGAGTAACGTTTTTATTTGTTTTTATCTCAAAAACATTACGCGTAAGCTAACAAGTTCATGACCGTGGTTGCACGAATCGTCACAAGATGTCGACACTAGTCGTTATAGTAACCTTGCATATATCATTTTTTTGCGTATACCAAGATAATCTACACAAAAAAAGTGTCCTGATCATTATGTATGATTGATTTAACATTTTTAATTATGAAAATAATTAAATAAATCTTACGCGACAAAACGCTATGGCGCGGCGAGCGCGTGACCTAGGGAGCCTTCATGTGCGCGCGCCTCCGTGTTTTGGGGTGGTGTCAGCCAAGAAGGATTTAAAAAGTTGCTGGAGTGGAAATGATTGCGCAGAAGTGAAGTCGTTCCCCTGGCGAGATGGCGGCTGTGGCGGCCATCTTACTAGAGGCATTATGAAGTATCATCGCTCAGCGATTAAAAACGAAGCGCTTCCGTCGCACGCCCAACGAGTTTAATGTGTGAACTTCATCGGGTCACATAGTGCTCCAAGTGTGTCTTACAGTTACTACTTTTCCTTAGTGAGCCTCGAATCGGAGTCAAAGTTCGTTGAAGATTCAGTCACCCATACTCGTCGTTGTGTGTTGTTTTGTCGGGAACAAATTTATTTTAATATAGAACTAACGTAGAATTTACATAACATATCAAAGCCACTTGATCTTCAAGTGGGCACTATCAGAAAATAGCATGTTTCTGCCATCTTGGCAGTGGCAAAAGGTGGCTTCACTTCTGCTGGCAAGGCATTGCGGGAGCTTCCACTCCAGCAATTTTTCTTTAATCCTCCTTGGTGTCAGCCATAGTTTTCCCAATATATACTAGAGGAAACTCTGGCGCTAGTGTCTATGGGAGCTGCAATGCACAGCGCTTCAGCGAGCATGGGAATGATGAGTAGTACACACATTTGTCTAAACTTCGTACTTCTGGCCTGCTCTTGGCTCCGTGTGTGTTCGTGTGGCTTAAAGCTGTTTTCTCACGAAACAAAAATCAGCAAATGTTCAGCGGTTGCGCTTCACTGCCTTGTTATTTTAGACTTGCCTCTCCGCAATTGGGCCACGAAGTTCGAAAAAAGGGTTGAATCTTTAAAAAAAAACGATACACAGCAATAAACGAAGCCACAAGTACGACTCGCCTCCTGCAAGTACGAAGACTAGGCACTGCCCTACCCTCCGTGTACTACCCATCATTCTCCGTGACTCTCATGGTCGCTGAACGATCGCAGCGCCAGAGTGCCCTCTAGTTAATTTTGAGAAACTTTATGGTGTCAGCCTTTGACCCACCACTAGGGTGGCTACCCTACCACCACTTGCTAAGGTCCCTAGATGAAACAAGTTTCCTTACCACTTGCCGCCGCCCGCTAAAACACAATGTCGCCAGTCCCGGTTTCTATGAAAACAAGCGCCATGTTGGTTCTCGCGGCCAGGCGTTCCTGCTCCACCGCACTGCACCAGCTGCAGGCTGGCGCGGCTGTGCAAGCTGCGGTATGAGCTGCGTTTGACTACACCGTAGACCTATAGCTTCCGCTACGACACCATCCTCGCGGTAAGCGTATAACAACTTCGGAGTGTAAATGCCAGGGTACTGCGTGCCGCAATGCAAAACCCTCTGGAGACTGTCCTGCTTCCCGACTTGCTCTAACCAACAGAAACGCTGGATTACACAAGTGAAGTGAGATTGCTTGGAGCCGACTACTTCTTCCCGTGTTTGTGAGGTGAGTACCCTTTGTATTGCGAGTGGATTGAGTATATCGCCGCATAATTCGTAGAAAAACTGGCTTAGTCATGCGATGGAAAGCAGTTTGAGCAAAGTAAACACGACAATTTTCACGGTAAAAAAATGGATCCGGCTTCGTTCAGCTGCGCCGGGATACACGCGCGAAAGCTGGTTAACTTGAGTATGCTTGTTTATCCTCGCGAAGCACAGTTTACCAATCGAATAATATGACTAGTCGAACATGTGGTCCTGCATGCATTCTTCGGTTTGCAAAGCCGTCGCCGCATTTGTCGCGGAAAACGCCAGGCTCGAAACCACCAACAGACGCTCGCGTTCGCGTTTTCTTTGCGAGCAGATATTCGCGTTCCTGCAATGTCACCTCGGTAGCTGAGGACAGCAGGAAGGGCATTTGGAGAGGTAGACAGACGAGCTGACGAACGCGTTCCCTGTAGACTCTTGCGCAGTTGCAACACAACTAAATTTTGTGCGGCTTGCCATGGGGTATTCCTTCTTTCCATCAATTACACGTGGAACCACACCGAAACTCTCTCAACAATGGCAAAAAGCATTCGCTTTACTTATATAGCATGCGACAGATTTACTGTTCGTGTCCGTCCGTCCTTCTGTCTGTCTATCGGTCCTGAACGGTGCAGTATATGTGCACTAAGCAAGTCGGTTGTTAGCCCATAACTCAAATAGGCCCTATGTGAGATTGGTGTTGCGTCGTTAACTTTGTCGTCCTATTGTTTCATAACAAGCCACAAAGATGATTTGATTACGCGAACTCAGTTTTTGCTTAGTGCTTGTAGAGAAAACGTGTATGGACTCCGTATATGTGGTTGGCGCCGTGTATGACTTTTCGCCCTATTACTTTATTATAGGCCCACTGCGAGGACACAAGCTTCCAGCAAAGGAGGCAGGATGGTTTGAATAAATTTAGGCCAGATGCTGGTTGGATGTTGTTTGCAATAAAATATGAACTAAAAAAAGTGTTTTGTCCCTTGTTGCTTTCTTTGCTTCTCTTGTAGCCTAATATACAAGCTTTGGAGGGGGGGGGGAGGGTTGGTGTAATATGATTTTGTGCCCTACTATTTTCTGGCAATGCTTACAGCTCGTAAGGTTTCAAGATGTTCATTGCACAGATTCGTTCGCAGGAACTAAACTTGCTGCAAGAAATTATATTACGGACAAAATCAATATTTAGGGTATGAGAAACAGGCTAGCGGAGTTATGCGGTTTACGGATAACATCGCTTGCGGTTTACATGCGGTTCACAGACAACCCGGTTGTTTGATCTGCATTCCCTGTCGTTATGGGTACCGTCATATTGCCACGTTCCATTTCCCAAGTTTTCGTTATCGTCCCAAAACACCACACGATTCTCAGCGCAAACCGCGCCTGCAGTTTTCCAGAAGGTTCCGGACTGTAGTAGATCATTTCTATAAGATCACGCCCACTGTGCGAACGGTACAGATTGTTCTGGAACCTACGCCACCGCCAGCGATAACGCTAGAACATTCGATGGCAAGAGTATAAATGCCGACGCGCTTCGCCACTTGTGAGTAGTTGTTGATCGAAGGCCGACGCTTTGTTCGCCGCTATCAGTCCGAGACTGCTATCTGTGCGAGACTGCTGCTGTAATTGGACTTTCCTTTTACCGGGCACAGGTTCGCCCAAATAAACAGTTAAATCCCAACACGAAGTCTCCTGTCTTCGGCCACGTCACGACCCCGTGACATCTGGTGGAGGTGCTGCTTCGTTCATGTACCGGACGCCCCCGTCAAGCCGTGAACCCAGCCCACGTCGCGGAGAAAACACCGACGCCAACCAGGAGCAGCGAACAAGCCGCCGACAGCAAGGGCTACCACCGGAGTACGGGATTCTAAAAGACAAGGCGCGGAAGACCAAGGCCATGACCGCAACTGCAGCGACAATGACAACCGCCGCATCCCAGCCCACGATGGTCATGCATCAACCCAGGGAACCACCAATTTTCTATGGGTCATCGTTCGAAGACCCGGAGTCCTGGCTAGAAACATACGACCGTGTGGCCGCCCTCAACCACTGGGACAACGAAGAAAAGCTCCGTCGTGTGTACTTCTA